GCAGCGGGCTCTTCAGCAGCGGGCTCCTCGGCGGCGGGCTCTTCGACAGCGGGCTCTTCAGCGGCGGGCTCTTCAGCGGCGGGCTCCTCAGTAGCAACTTCGGTGGTGGCTTCAGCGGCAGGCGTTTCGGTCACGGCTTCGGCGGTAACTTCGGTCGAAACCTCGGCGACAGGCTCTTCGGTAACAGGCTCCTCAGCAGAAACTTCGGTGGTAATTTCGGCGGCAGGCTCTTCAGTGGAGGCCTCGGTCGCGGGCTCCTCGGCAGCTTCAACAGCAGGTTCTTCTACTGCAGATGACTCGGCGACCGGTTCTTCAACCGACTCCTCCCTGGTTGCCTCCACGGCTGTCTCTTCAACAGTTGGTGTCTCGGTGACAGACTCTTCCGAGGGCTCCTCGACAGTCGGTTCAGTGCTAAGCTCAGCTTCCACAGGAGCTTCGGTGTTGACAACCTCTTCGCTGGTCGATTCGACTTGAACCGATTCTGCTGCAGAGTCTTCAACAGGAGCCGGGACAGCCTCTTCAGCCGCCAGTTCCTTGGTTGTATCCTTCGCAACCGGCTCAGGCTCCTCAGCAGCGGTTGATACAGCAGTTTCCTCTGATGGCTGTTCGACCACAGGCTCTTCTACAGATCTCTCAGCCTCCTCAGCTGCAGGAGTCTCGGTTTCCTCGGATTCTTCCACCTGTACTTCCTCAGCAGCTGGTGCTTCAGTAGTAGGCTCCTCGACAGCTTCCGGGGCGAGTTCTTTGGGGGCTGTCTCCTCAGTAGGTTCAGCAGGCACCTCTTCGACAGGTTCAGCGGGGTGAGTTTCCTCAGTGGTAGATGCTTCGGTAGTAGGCTCGTCTGTCACAGGCTCACCAGACTCTTCAGCTTTGATCTCAACAACCGGTTCCTCTGAAGTAGCATCTTCTGTCTTGGGGACCTCCAACTCTTCTGATGCGACGACTTCCGGCTCTTCAGTAGCTGATTCATTCACAGCCTCCACAACCTCCTCAATGTTGTCCTCTGAGGGGGAAACCTCTTCAATCGGTTCTTCGGCGGCCGACTCGGCTGTGACTTCAGTCTTCTCTTCAGCGACTGGTATCTCGACAAGTTCCTTAGTCTGTTCCTGAGCTTCTTCCGCAGTCTGTTCTTCGGGGGCAGTTTCGGTTGAAGGTTCCTCCGCCACAGGCTCTGTAGCAGTAATTTCAACCACTGGTTCAACCACGGACTCTTCAGGCGCAGCTTCTGCCACAGGTTCCTCAGCTGCAGGTTCTTCAATCTTGGATTCTTCGGCAGTAGACTCGACTACAAGCTCTTCCGTCACAGGCTCCTCAGGCGCAGGTACTTCAGCTGTAGGCTCTTCAGTCGCAGGTTCTTCGGACGTGGTTTCGATCACAGGTTCCTCAGCTGTAGCTTCAACGGAAGGCTCTTCAGTAGCGGTCTTTTCGGTTGTAGGTTCCTCAGCTGCAGGCTGTTCAATTGTGGGTTCTTCGACCGTCGTTTCGTCAACTGTAGGCTCTTCCACCACAGGTTCCTCGGCTGTAGCTTCAACAGAAGGCTCCTCAGCAGTAGTTTCTTCAATTTTTGATTCTTCAGCTGTAGGTTCTTCAACTGCAGATTCCGCGACTGCGGGTTCTGCGACTGCGGGTTCTTCCACGGCGGGTTCTTCGACTGCGGGTTCTGCGACGGCGGGTTCTTCAACTGTAGGCTCCTCAGTCGCAGCTTCAACCACAGGCTCTTCGGGTGTCGCTTCAGCCACAGGCTCCTCGGCTGGAGGTTCTTCAGGCGCGGCTTCAACCGTAGGCTCTTCAGGTGTCGCCTCAACCACAGGCTCCTC